GTACTATACAGTATTGTATTGTTCCAGCTTACATACAAATTCAACATAATAGTTTAATAGACCTTGAAAATGGAACTCGTTCTTAAATTGGGAGCCATTTGTACTATCTTGCATTTAATTTTAATATGGTGAAAGCATTTGCTTTTAAATATCTTCACAGCTATACAACATTGCTGCTCCATCTCGGAACTTTCGTGATTACAAAGTACAGTTTGTTCCATTTCACAAAGAGCTAGGATACAGGCATAAATACATCTACAAGAGCCCAGAGCTACCTCGAATATTACGGTAATTAAAGGGGTAATTCATATGTACTGGGGTGAGCTGGTTGACAATTCTAGCTGATGTAGTGTGCTAGACTTCTGAAGGGTAATTTTTCCAATGGTATTGGAGTTTGTATTACATGGATATAAGAGGGAGATACTGTGGAATATTTTGACATTGTTTTATGACATGAATGTTTAGCAGAAGAAGTAGAACAATTTGTGTGTCTGCTTCCCTTCTTATGATCTGTCAGTTTATTTCATATTTTTGTCTTAGAGCAAGTCAAACTATTGGGAATAATCCCTGAACCTTTAGTGTCAAGATGAAGTATCTGGTCTTTTATTTTTAATCTTGTTAGATGTAGACCCCTGGTTTTCCCCCCAGACTGCATTATTTATGTTCCAGGGTCTTCCCAGCTATGTAAAGGCGAATGACTCCTACAAGAGTTTTAAAAAGATAGATAAGCTGTTTGTGTATTCCCCTTCTCACAGCATTAAAAAAAAACTACTATTAAGCCATCCAGGAAAGGAAGTAGTACAGTGCACTAATATACTGACAGATATGGGGAGAAGAGGAAATGGATGAACCTAAAATAGCGAAATATTTGACACAATAAACAGCTGGGTTTTTTTCCTCCTTAGGGAATTCCTGGGAAAATCTGCACATCGTCATCATCACTGAAGACTTTAACATGTTACACTTAAAATCATCCCATCTTTGAAAAAGAAAAAAAAGTCTGCTATAATTGAAACCCAAGCACTGGATATGCCACTGATTCTGGCTTCAGTTCTAAAAGATACCTTGAAACCCCATGTTTTGGGACAATAGATATGAAGAATGAATGTAATTGGCTTCTTGTGTCTTTCTCTCCCCCCCCCCCCCCCCCCCCCTAAAGAATGAGG